TATTTCGAAGAAATCTTTGTGCTACCCGTCGGACTTCTGAAGACTGTGTGGATTAGTTCGGGAAGCAGCAGCTCTTCTTATGAGCTGTACTGGATTTCCAGTAATCGCGCTTATTCTGTGGAAAGTCTCCGTAACCGTTTTAAATACTCTGCAAAGAACTTGCTGTAAGGGTAGTCAGAAAAAGCGAGCTCAGTTTAAGTCCCGAAAACACGTACATCATCCTTAAACGCTACAAGTGCTACCTGTGACGCTCTGCAGTCAGACCACGGAAATACTTGCAGATGACATTTGGCACAAACTCTGGTGAACATCGGAAGCTTCGAGGGTTACAGTTCAAATAACGCAGTTAAACCACACTCACCCGGAGCACGTCGGGAAGTTCACCATTAACATAACGCCCAGGCCTTATCGAGTTAGTGCGTCACGATCCGATGGCAATAAGGCTAGCTCAGCAAAATCCCAAGTACGAACTATGTATGGCAATCCATTCACTAAATCAACGAACAACTTAGTCTTATCTATCAATGTCTTCCGGCGCATGTCACTACGTCAGCAATGCGGCAACAGATGAGAACCTTGCGGTTGATAAAGATGGCTGGGGAGGTAACGTGCAAGTGCAGTCGTAACTACGTAAAACGTCCGCTGCAAAACACAAAGGACGAATGTTAGTATAATAGGAATGAAAACGTTACATGGAATCAATACAACACCGGTTCAGTTGATCGACTACATTCGGTACACCGTAGTGAGGTAAGCCAAATTTCCTTCAGGCGCGTTACTGGAAGATGTAGTAAGGATAAATACAACAAACAAATAACGATAATTAAATGGGAACAGACAGGGAAATTTTGTAAGATGAAGTAGTTAGGTTAGGAAGAGAGGAAAGAAATCGGGGGCGCCACTGACTTTGCGATTGTACCGTGTCGGATAACACATCTAACAAGTGATTTTACCCCCGGAAAGACTACACATATGAGTCCAACGCGGCTTTCTTTAGCTATCTTTATGCATCTTCAGTATGTCATGTGCTGGCTTTCAACCAAGCAAACAAGGCCTACAGAGGCAGCCGGTCAATAGGGATGAGAAGCATGACGCTAAGACAACACTATCAGCTTTAGTATGTTAGACACTCCAAATGGAACTGCAGCCAAACAACAAAGGATGGACGTCAGTAGCGCTCATTCAGAGTTTCCATCTGGGATGATGTATACTTGGTAGAAATCGATGGTATAACAGGGCTAGTCACTAAGTGTCTTTAATGCGATGTTCATACCAGAGATGCATGCAACACCACAAAAGACGGCAACGTTTCACACTCGTTCGGTAAACACTAGATTATATACCACCGTCTCCGCCTTACGCTCCAAAAAGCCCCAGATGTCTTACCGATGTTGAAAACAATATACTCGGTGGTGAGTCCACCCGATGCAGTACAGCTAGTTCAAAAATAAACCGATCAACCACTTTGAGCTGCTTACGGCTGCATTGACCACATCTTCACCTTGCGTCAGTTGTTGGAGCACCGATACATATATTGGCGGCCCACCATTGTCGTGTTCCTCGATATCAAAGGTGCATTCGATTCGGTGGATAGACATGCACTTTGGGACTGTCTACTCAGGAAAGGTGTGCCCGAGAAATATGTGAATATTATCCGAGCATTATATGCTCGTAGCTCGGGCAGAGTGAGGGCTTACGGCAAGCTGTCGTCGCCCTTTAATATCTCCAGCGGCGTGAGACAAGGATGCCCGCTGTCACCTTTCCTCCTCAACTTCGCTGTTAACGAAGTCATGAAAATCGCGTTTACAGGACACGACTTAGAAGGTGTGGAGCTACTCCCAGGAGAACGACTTCTTGATTCGGAGTATGCTGATGATATTGCCCTCATCTGTGACAGCTCACAAATGTGCCAAGCGGCACTGGACAGATTAGCACTAGCTGTCCGTCACTTCGGGCTTTGCTTCGCACCCTCGAAGTGCAAAGCGTTCCGCTAAGGTTGGTCTGGACCGCTCCCTACGTTGACCCTTGGTGGGAATCAGCTAGAAGTCGTTCAAAAATTCAACTACCTGGAAGTTGTATCAACGCCCGTGGGATTGAAGATGAGATCACGAACCGTATAGCAAAAGCTCGGGGCGCTTTCGCTAACCTTCGCCACTTATGGCGCCAACGCAAAATCACTCTCACCCTGAAGGGCAGAGTGTACAATGCAGCAGTACGTTGGACACTACTGTACGGTTGTGAAACCTGGGCGCTTAAAGCAGCGGACCTGAAGAGGCTAGTTACGTTCGACCACCGGTGCCTTCGTAATTTAGCTCACATCTGGTGGGAACACCGCGTGAGCAACGAGCGTGTTCGACGCCTTGTTTATGGCACAGGAAAAGGAAATGAACCGCTCAGCACCGTTATTTCACGCACTAGACTCCGATGGCTCGGCCACGTGTTACGCATGCCAGCCCACCGACTCCCGCGACGTGCGTTGTTTGCGCGCCGGGGGTGTGGATGGAAGAAGAGGAGGGGTGGCCAAGCGATGACTTGGTCCAAAGGAATGAAGGCTCTCACTTCTGAGCTGACCTCGGTTGGAGCGTCTCGGCTCCCTGATTGGGGTCCGAAAGACGATGAACACGTTTGGTTGGACACACTTGCTGATATGGCTAGGAGCCAACCTCAGTGGCGTTCGTGCTGTGGACTTCATCCAACCCTCTTCCAATTCGGGGGATCTGCTCTCTTGGAGGATTTACATAACTTACTAGTGAGTCCATGGAAGCAGGAGATTGTCCCAACAAACTGGAGTCGCTCCGTTATAGTACCAATTTTCAAGGGAGAATGCTGTCCGAAATGCAGCAGTCATAGAAAATAAATCTGATCTCAATTGCCTAAGCTTTTTGTGAAGATGCGTCGCAGCTAGACTCAGACAGACAGCCACCACGCATCCAGAAAACCGCTAGACGGCCGTTTCGTCTTATTGGGAACCGTCAGTAGCTCGCACTCGCTGAATCCTGCCGGATTCGAACCCACGACCTTACTCTTACGAGTCAGTGACTTATGCCACTGAGTCATGAGTGACGGCAGCGGACTGCCATGACTGACATCTAACTGATATAGTGCGGCTCATCGTCCTCTGTCCTGCACGATATGAACGTGCAGTTGATATGGCTGGCCCCCAGAGCAACGACTTCCTTTGCGATCCGCCCCCAATCGAGGTGGCATGTAAGCTGCTAAAGCGATTACTGATTATCGGTGAATAGTAGGGAGATTTATTTGGTACTTTGTGAAGATTCGTCACCTCCGTCGTTTCCCATAGACTAACGGGCACTCGTGAAAGCCAGATGCGCGAAGAGCAGGTCGGGTTTCGTCGAAATCAATGCTGCATTGACCACATTCACAAATTATACCAGTTGTTGGAGCACCACCACATTTATTGGCGACCCGCCGCAGCTGTGTACCCGCATAGTTCGGGCGGGGTGTGCGTTTACGGCAAACACTCGCCGCACTTCAATCTCTCCAACGGTGTTAGACAAGGTTGCCCGTTGTCACCTTTCCTCTTTAATTTCGTCATTGACGAAGCCATGGAAACGGCATTCGCCGAGCACGAGTTAGAAAGTGTGGGGTTTCTCCCAGCTGACCGACTTCTTGATTTGGAGTATTCCGACGACTTTGTGCTCATGTGACAGCTTACAAAGGTACCAAGCTGCACTGGATAAATTAACTCTGGCTGTCAGTCGTTTCGGATTATGCTTTGCTCCATCGAAATGCAAAGTACTTCTCTAAGACTGGCAGCCACCCACTCCTGCGCTGATCATTGGTGGGGATCAGCTTGGAGTCATACAGGAATTCAAGTAGCTGAGCAACTATATTAACGCCCGCGGGATTGAAGATGAGGTCAGGAACCGTACAGCTAAAGCTCGGTATGCTTTAGCCGATCTCCGCCACCTGTGGCGCCGGCGTGACATCACTCTCGCTGTTTACAATACAGCCATCCCTTCAACCCTCCAGTACGGTTTCGTAACCTGGCCCATTAGATCAGCCGACAATAAAAAGATCAGTTAGGTTCGACCATCTCTGTCTTCGAAGCTTAGCTTATATCTGGTGGGAATACCGTGGGATCAATGAGCGTGTTCGGCGTCGCGTATCTGGTGCACAAGAGCGAGTGAACCGCTCAGCACCATAGTATCATGCAGCAGACTCCGATGGCTGGGCCACGTGCTGCGCAGGCCAGCACACCGACTCCCGCATCGTACGCTGCGTGCCCGGGTCTGGATGGAAGAAAAGGAGAGAGGTCAAACGAGGACTTGGTCTAGAGAAATAAAGTCCCTTACCTCAAACTTGACGTCGATTGGTGTTTCCCAAGTGTGGGGCTTGGGCCCGAAGGAGGATGAAAACGTTTGATTGGATACACTAGCCGAAATGGCGAACAGCTGACCTCAATGACGTGTGTGTGGTCAGTCACTCTGTCCCTGCCTCTCCTTTAGCTTCCCCTTGCAACAACGATCTCAACCCAATGCATAATGTGAGTTTAAAATTTTGTTTCTTTTTTCAGCTGTTGTAGCCTGTGGTTTTTAACCCGCTATCCTTTTTGTATTGCGAAACATTAGCTAAGGTGTGTTTCTCATCCTCCACTAACGTGTATTGATGATTATGTCACGATGCATTCCACTTGTAGTCAGCCCTTGCAAGGTCACGGAAATAGTGATGCAGAGAGTTGGAAATGGACGGAGATTGCCCAGTCCACTCTCCAAAGACATACTCGCCGCAAACATGTGCACGAAATCGGTGCTCAAAGAGGACTATAAGGTCACCAGAATGTTTCGGTGAGTCACTATATCTGGGACACAGTACAAAAGTGGTTATCTGTCAATGTTTGCATTGATTCAACGAAGATGGCGGCAGCCTATAAGAGTGGAACGGTGAAAAATCCTACGGGTTAGGCATTTCACTTCTGATGCCGAAAATTACAATTGACATTCTTATGTTAAGTTCTAAAACAACAAATATGCACTTACCGACTAAACCAAGCGTGCTCAGTCTCCGCAGCGGAGAGAGAATAGATGGGTGCTCAATGTTTGTTGAGATAACAAGAGGTTTCTCATTCCAAAATGGTTTGGAAAATGTATTCAATACAGCAAAATTGCTTTCTGTACCACCGGAAGTGAAAATCAACTCTTAACGATACAACAATGTGGACGCGAGTATTTTCATACCTTTAGCATTAACTCCAAATAGGTCAGCAATCGATTGCCGAGCGGTTTCGATGGTTTTCCTAGCATCTTGACCGTAAGAACAACTGGGATTCAACCAGAAATGCTCCGCTACCGCATTCATCTTCTGCAGCACTTCAGGGGCAAGTGGGGTAGTTGAATTGTAGTCCAAGTAAATAGTCATCGTGTAAATACAAACACGACGGTCTGTTGAATCAGTAAGGGAGCCTAAACTGGAACACAAAGCAAAGCAAAGCAAGTTAACGTGAGATATAACACAAGCAAGTATTATATTCCTCACCGCTCGACGAAGCTCCTTAACAATAGATTTTGTATCTGACAGGTATATGCAGGTAAGCTTTTTAGACACTGCAAGTAAAGTGCTTTTTGGCTGACAGATTCGAAAAGTCTCTTTGGCACAACGAGAGTGATGTTGCGCTGGCCTCATAAGTAATGAAAATGAGCAAAAGCGCTTCTATCTTTGGACATACAGTTTGACACATCGTCTTATGTTTCTCAGGCGCTGATATAGCTGCCCAAACAGTTGTATCCAAACGATTTATAGTTGATCCCCACTAAGAGTCAGTCCAAGCGGTGGTCTCTGCCGAATTTGGAGGGAACATTTGTATTTCGAAAATGCAATGCAAAGTCCAAAACGGTTTACAACTAGTGCTACTCTTCCCTGTGCTATTTAGCAGGTATATGAGCTGTCACAGATGAGCACAATATAATATGCATACTCCAAGTCAAAAAGTCGAGCACCTGAAGGCAGCTCCACACCTTCCAATTCGTGCCCAGTGACCGCCATTCCCAAGACTTCGTCGAAATGGAAGGTGACAGCAGGAATCCTCATCCTACATCACTGGATATATTGAAGGGCACGACAATTTGACATATGTAGGACTAGTTAATACTAGTCCGAGACGGTGCGCGGAATTAAGCGCGGATATCAGAAGGCAATTGGAGTCGGACACAGCGGACTGTATTCGATGGGACTACAACAAGAAACGGACGGATGAAGCGAGGCAAGAGCGTACACGTGAGCGCGGGAACTTACAATGGCAGTTGTGTGTCGAGCCGGTTGTAAGATTAAAACAAGAAGGAGTAATGTACAATCGGTCAACAAGTAAATTGTACACGAAAGATAAGAGTTATCTTTTGGGCGCTACAGAGCTCCCCCCCTAGAAGGCTGAACATAGAAAGCCTTCGAAATCGAAAAGGAATGTTAAAACGAGGTTCGTAAGGCGAAATCGTGCCGAGTAAAAATGGGCGTGCGTTCGTGTAAATGGGGGTTCGTCGGAAGTCGGAGTCCGCTGTGCCGTTTATGATTCGTTATTTATTGAATGCAGGGCAGGGTGCATTTCGGCGAGCCGTTGGAGCGGGCTTGTCGGACTACAAAAAAACTGGCTAGTCCAGAAAAAGGCCGACAGGACCTCAACCTCCGCTGCTGCCAAACGGTGCGCTTGGGAGTGGTCTCTCCCCCCGCCGCACCCCGCCCCGCGCCAAAGCGACCCTCGTCCCACGAAGAAAAACGACCACGGTCCCACGGAGAAGCGACCCTCGTCTCGCGGAGAAGCGATCCTCGTCCCGCGGAGAAGCGACCCTCGTCTCACGGAGAAGCGATCCTCGTCCCGCGAAGAAGCGATCCTTGTCCCGCGGAGAAGCGATCCTCGTCCCGCGGAGAAGCGACCAGTGTTCGCGTCAGGGTCCTCGAAAAGATTCCTCGTGTGGGCCAGTCGATCGAAGGGGGAGGGTTGGGGCATGTAAAGACGAGAAAATAGAAAAACACGCGCAG